GGAAAGGGGTTAACTCAACCTCCATCCATTTTTCTCTGGGTGTGTTTTTGCACAGACTGCCTTCCTCCCTGTGATCCTCGAGCCTCCTAGTCCTCGCCCTAATAGCTCTTTCTCTCTCCGTCTTCCACTTTCTCTTCTCCAACCTTCTCGGCAATTCTCCCCTTTTTCCAGAGACGGGCTTTTTCTCCAGCCCTACACATCCCTCCTCCCGTCACCCTGCCTCTTCCCGGCCAAGGCATGCCTCCCAAGGCATGCCCCCCACCCCAGTTTCCCTACAGCACCCTGCAAACCCCCGCCTCTCATCCCTCCCCAACACTGGGCCTTCCTCCTACTGTTCAACCAAGGCTCCCGGGCTATACCTGGCACAAGGCCCCCACCCTGAGCAGTCCCATGGGATTCTGACGGTGCCCAGCTACACATGAGGAACAACAGGCAGCCTTAAGAGAAGAACCCGGATGGCACCTTAAGGCAGGAGGACTGGAAATACTCTAGATGAAATATCTGCATGCAGAGACTAGTGGTGTGTTGTTGTTTTAATATGTATCAGAAGCACGACAGTACAACTAATAATTTTTTTTTTGCCAGTAACGGGCAACACCAAGTGCATTTGGGATCAACTCTTCAGCTGCACACATGCGATCGAGGGGGGGGCAGTGCACATGGATGGGGGTGAGAAGTTGCTGGTTCTTCTCTGCACTTGCAAAGGATTCTGGTGAATGCAAAACCCTCCATTTTCTTGTGTTCACTTTGTTTCTGCCAAGTTCAGCCCCATTAAGTGACTTCCAACTAACCCAATTATCCACACGGCTGAGGTGGGGGGGAGAGGCTTTCCTGGGGTTCTTCCCATTTTAAGAGTGGAGTAAATATTTCCTCCCACATTATAATCCCAGCATTCTGTGCTGTTCCTTCAGGATTCACAAATGTTCTGGAAAAAACTTTTCCTTGATATTAATTTGGGAAAGGTGGAATGGTAAATGAAGAATTGGAAGATTTAAAATCTCTTGGATGGCCCCCCCGAGACCCCTCCCATTCTCAATACCAGAGGAAGGATCAGGCATTCCCTGCCCCAAAAGTGAGCTGCTGACCAACTAGATTCACCCAAGGAGGACTGGAAAATCCTCCACCTCTTTGCATCAATGTCATAGAAGCCAGTGACCTATGCAGCTCGTTGCCCTACGTACTGTATTGCCTGCCCCTCTTGATGGTGGTCACCCTGCCCGAGACAGCCCAAAACAGGAATCCCCCACACTTCCAGAGAAGGTAAAGAGGGCTGCGCTGGAAGAAACTGGCACAACCACCTGCCAGATATCCCCTGATTTGTATTCCTGCACTAAGCAGGGGACTGGACTAAGCAGGGACCTTAGAGGCCCCTTCCAAAGGAAACTGTTCTAGGATTCTATGAAACCAAAGCCAACTTCTGCAGCCCAGCGTTCTCCTCCCACTGCGGCTGCCCTAATCCTTCAAATGGGAATCCCAGTCCAAGAGGTGGTCTTAACCCACTCTCCCTCAACTATTTACCCCACCGGCAACAGCAGGTAAGGGGAGGCAGGGGAGGGGAGGGCATGCCCAGATTCCCTACCTGCAGGAGGAGCTTCAAAGCTCTTTCCCCTGCTTGAGTTCCTCAAACGGAATCCCTGAAAATCTTTAAACCCCCTTCCTGGCTCCTGCTCTGTGGAGCTAAACCGGTGGATTTGACTCCTGCCACTCACAGTCAGGATCACCAAGACCTCCTTGCACACAACCACCTGTGAACCTGGTGATCCACAAAACAGACGCTGGCAGCATGCGCTGAGATCAAACTGCGATGCAGCACACCCATCATGCCCAGCATTCACATGTACCGGTCCACTTTAGATAACCACTGCACCTGCCAGCAGCTTTGGATTTTAGGGGCTTACCATGTTCTGTCCAAGAGTTACGTGAGATTGTGAACTCCCAGAGGCCCTCGCTCTTGGATTCACACGCAACAGGCCAAATGACCGATGGTGGCTTCCCGTTGCAACACAACAGCAAACACAGATCCGTTTTCCGTTCCTCTTGGGGATCACCTTCAAAATACGCACACAGAGTGCCCTGTTTGGGGCCAAAAGGTGGCCGAGGCGCTTCGTAACTGGGAGACTGCCACAGTCCCCCCTTTTGCGGGCAGGCAAGGGGTTGTGATGAACAAGTCCAGTCAGAGAGTTCAAGAGGAGGGAGACCTTGAACATCAGGTCACAGCGGAGGGGCCCAGCTGTCCTGGGCCGAGGAAGCAGGACCAGAAGGGACTCGGCTGGCAGAGAGATAAAGGCAATCATGGAAAAGGGGGCTGGGGAGGCAAGCAGGAAGAAAGCAGCTGCTCGGATGTCAACAAGTTCTGAATCAGAGCTCCCCCTCCCCACGGGGGCCCTGAAAGAGGAGCAGCTGGGGAGGGAGAGACCTTGGATTCAGACATGAAAGACGGGAGTCCCTGGGTTATGCGCAAGACATTACACAAGCATACACATTTTGTATGGCAACCTATTTCACAACGCTCTCGATGTCTATTCCAGACTCCGTGCTTCCACCGTGGGCCGGGTGGGCTTCAACCCCCTGCATGCCCTTTGCTGCTGGACAAGGGCGGGCGGGGACTTTTGCTCCCCAAAGTCTTGAACGAAAACACAAGCCCCCTTTCCTCCTGCAGCCCGCCTCAGGCCACGTCGACTCCCACAACAACACCTCAAGGCCCCCACCTGCTTCCAAACCTGTGCCCCACCCTTGGGTCTGCAGAACATTGTTTCCCCCCCCCAAAAAAAAGAAAGAAAAAAAAGAGACACCGGAGATCTTCCTTCCCACTCTAACCAGGTCACACAGCAAGCCTCAGGTCACCAGAAGAGGCAGAAGCGGTCCACGCAGGAGCGTCCAAAGTGGTGCCGGCCTACCGCCTGTTTGCCCTCCACCTGCTGAAAAGAGCGGCGAGGAAGGGGCTCCCGCCTCTTGGAGGGATGGAAGCTTCAACAAAGCAAACCGAGAGAGAGGATGGCAGTCCTTTCCCCTCTTCGCTCCAGATTCCCACCAAGGGTTCTGTTCTTTGGGAGCCTCCGGCGCTACTTCTTACACAGCAGGCTCCGAGAATCAAGGCCCTCCTGTTTATTTTTCTGTCAAAGGTCAGCAGCGGAGGCCTGGCGCTGTGTGGCTTCCTTGTTCCTGCTCTCCATCAGACCCTTTGGCCACCGTAGGACGCCTGGCATCATCCCGCCCCACCGCCCGCCACCCGGAGGCTTTCAGCTCCCTGGCCCTGGCCTTCTCTTCTGCCCAGAGTGGCCGTGAGTCCAAAAGAGAAGGCGGCCCTCCACCGGCTCTCTTTCTATCCAGACTAAACACACCACGCGGGGCCTCCAATTCTTCCTTTATAGTTTCCATTGTTTTATACTCTGAACTTTCTTCTGCTTGTTAAAGCTTGTCTTGAAAGCTGGAGCTCAACACCTGACACCCGTTTCCTTTTTTCTCTTGGGCGCAATGATTTCGGCAGCAACAGTTCAGAGGCTCTGACAACCTTTGCCAGGGAAGAGCACAGGAGAGGAGTCTTCTTCTCAGAAGGTCACCCGTCAAGCTCCAGACCTGCTCTGCAGCACCCCTGCCCGCTTGCCCAGTCACCTGCTCTCTCAGATTCTGAATGCGGTGACCTTTTTCTAGCCCCGCGTTCACCCTACATGCCTTCCTTAAGGCAGGGATTTTATCCAGCGGTTTCCATCCCCTCGCAGCTCCAAGCTGTTGTGTTTACAATTCCTTCCTCAGGCCAACAAGCCAGAAGACGGCCATTCCTTAAAACCTCCTTGGAGGGAAGGGGGTCAAGCTGCAGTCACCCTCCTCGGTCGGATTCAACACAGGCCTTCCAGAGGCCTTCCAGGCAAAGGCTGGCCAGAGCCTCTGCACCTGCTTCCGTCGGGCTAGTTCCCACTCCCCAGGATCCCCCTGCTCTGTTCTGTCCAGCTCCCAACCGCAGCCCACCAGCCCTAGTGGCACTCCTCTTCCTCCTCTCATGCTCTGCAGTGACACAGCCCGCCCGGCCCTCTCGCCCTCCACCCCCAGGCCCTGCTAAAGAACCAACGCCAGTGGCCCACGCTGTGGAGGTGAGCCTGCAAACCAAGGAGGATGCGGGCAGGATGGGGAAACACCCAAAGAAATACAGAAGCAGAATGGGGAAAGACTCTCCTCCCAGAAGGAGTCAGGAGCCAGCCTCTTCCTTCTTCAGCGCTTCCCTTAACACAGAGTCAGACCCAGTAAGAAAAGCAACCTGAATGGAGGGATCGGGCCACGCCAGCCCTTGTTGAGCAGCCTCTCCCCACAGGGCCCAAACGGCTGCCTTTGGGAAGCCCACACGGGACAGGAGGCAGCAGGTCATTCCGATTAGTAAGACGCTTTACCCTCTACATATCGTCCATGATTTACAGCCAGCCCTGGGAGATGGGACTCCCCTCACAGAGGTTTTAGAGGGCGGGGCTCTACTTCCTTAGAGGAAGCTCTCCCCCCAACCTAGAAACACCTCCTCCCCAGTCACGTCGCAGAGGAACACACACAGGGGCCAGGTCCCACTGGAGACGACGCTGGAGGACCCCTCACCGTGTCAGTGGTAACCTAATGGGTTCACCATCCCGTCTCTCCATGCGGAACCTGCTATCAACGGGAAACAATGCTCTCCTTCCCTCTATACACAACACATGAGCGAGTCTCTACCCAAAGAGAAATGAACATAAATCCAACACCAGGAATAGAACTAGATTTTTTAAAGACAAGCAATGGCAGAAGATTTTACCTGCTCAGGAAAACTGTCACTTGACCCTAGAGCGGCTGTTCTTGAAGAAAGGAACTCTTGAGACATGGCTGTCCTAGAAAGTTCATTCCTATCCACTGTGGCTTTATCCGGGATAAACACTTGTGAAATCTCCCTGTTAGCCAGCTAGCCAATGATCACCCACTGGAGTTGTGTGAGTGGACGGTATGAGCCACAGAGGCACAGCAACAGAAACAGGGACCAGCCTTACCTCTTCATCAGAGCTATCTTCTGCATACTCGTTCTCCAAGGAGAGCTCCTGTTCCTTGACTTCTGGCTCCTGAGTCTCACCGCACGGCCGTGATTTCTTTCCAGAAGTTTCTCCAGCCTGTAAAACAGGAATGGCAGAAAGGGTGACCCTGGGTCTGCGGTTCTACTGGAGAGCTCCCTAATTTTTACAACACACCTAGGCAACGGTTGTGCCCTTCTCCCTCCCTCCCCGCCTCCCTGGTTTGCCTCAAACAGTCGTTTCCAAGGTCTTCCACAATGCAAACCCTGGCACTCTTTAGGACGCTGGTTCCCAACCCCAAAGGTTCTTGGACTACAACTTCCAGAAATCCTGGCCAGCATAGTCATTGGTGAAGCATTCTGGGAGTTTTGGTCCAAGAACATCTGGGGACCCAAGGTTTGGAACCACTGCCCTAGAATGTAGAGCCTAGATTATCCAGCGGGCTCTGACATCAATCCAGTCTCTATGTATCTGCCCACTCATGTTCATGCATATAAAAAAAAGCATTCCCACCCAAAATCTGAGGCCTGATTCCACCCAGTCTGTTGTCCCTGGGCTGCAGATGGGCTCAGCTGTATTTATTTATTTGTTTTATATCCTGCCCATCTGGTCTGGTCGACCACTCTGTACTCTTCTGTTCAGTCGGAGAATATTCTCTAATAGCTCTAAGCCTCAGAGCTGGCACCAGTAACTTCCTTGAACTTCCTCCGAGCTGCCTTTGCTTCCTCTCCCCAGGGCCTGATAAAATGGGGGCAAGCCTTCTTCACCTCCATAGACCCGCATAACACCATGTTGGTTCTCCAAGGCTCAGCATAACATTGTGCCCCTTCTTCCTCCTCCTCCTCCTCAGGTCAGGCTACCAAAACGTACACAACACCATGTGAATCTGATGGTTTTGTCCTCAAGTCAGGCTACCAAAACGTATACAACACCATGTGAATCTGATGGTTTTGTCCACTTCTCCTTCCCTGCATTGCAGGTGTGATCTGAGTCTATGTCATAAAAACAGCACAAAGGCAGAATTCTTCATCTACCTGGAAAAATGGCTACAGGCTAGTTTTTGAGCCACCGGACAAAGTGGGCTGTAGGCTCAAGAAACAGGAAGGATACGTTCAAGCTGAAGAATTAGCTAAAGACTTATGAATATTTTGATGCATAATTTTAAAGTCCAGTATTCGGAAATCAACTTCTCTCTGAGGCAGAGAAACAGGCCATCCATATGGCCACAGGGTGCCTCGGTAGAAGCGGTCTTCAAGCCAGATGTTTTTGGCCACTGCTCTAGTTGTCCTGGATCGTTTGCCATGGTGTCAAGGGTTGACGGGAGTCCTCATGCAAGTACCTGGAGAGCTGCTGAACCAGGACCCCGTTCAGCAGGTGACATGTTTGGGGCAAGGTGACATATATGCAATCAGGGTATGCAATAAAATCAATGACTTTTTGTGCGTAGCGACTCCAAACCAGGATGGCTATGTTGCAGCCAAACCCCGCCTCCCGGTGGCAAGAGGGTCCTCTCCTCTCCCCACTGCCAGCCTGAGCCAGTGGGGCTGCTCTGACGTCCTTACATTCACCTCCAGCGCAGCATGGAAAATGCTCTAAGCTGAGGTTCTGCGACAGGACACTATCCAGCCCCTAATGGCGTGCCAGATTCCAGCCCACGGGCTGGGCGTTCCAGATAGCACCTACGCATTGGCCTGATGTGCGGGTGCAGGCAAAGCTGCGCATCCTTCCCTGGAAAACAGATTTCCCCTCCTCCTCCCCCACTCAGAGGGGACCCAGTCGAGAGTGGGATTTACCAAAGGATTTGACAAAATAATCAGAAAAGCAGCCCAACAAAATACTCCTCCTGGGAATGGTAAAATCTGCATGGTTTCTGATCGCCTCTCGCTGTATGCAGCAACCCACGGCACAGCCCTCTGGGCCCCCCTGCCTGACTTCCACCCTCTTGGCCAAGGGGAGAAAGTGGGGCTGGGGGTCTAGAAGAGCACAGGGCCAATGAGAAGATGGGATTACAGCAAAAACAAAGGGTTTATTAAAGGCTTTGAAAAAAGCTGGTTAGAGGTAAGTTTTTTCCCAGGCTTTTGGCATCAGAAAGGTTTTGTCTGTCTCTCCCTCTCTTTTCCTGTTTCCCTGCCTCCCAAAGTTTGAGGGCTCAGAGAAGAACCCCACACGGTGGAAAGGGGTCTCTGGTGCAGCAAAGGGGTGCCAGGGAGGCCCACGGGCCCCTTCTTTATACCTGGGGGGGGGAAATCCCATGCAGCAGGCAGGCTAAGGTCCTCGTCCTAAGCAGGCCCCCAAGGAGCCCTGGACAAGGTGCCTGGATCCACGGCTATTGTGGAGGCGGACACGACCCAAAGCGGCGCCTGACGGACCAAGCGTCTGCTGCAGTTCTGTGGCTGAGCCCTCGTCCTTTGGGGGGGGTTGCATGGAAGACGGCCACCCCAGGAGTTGGTGGGGCAGCCCCAGCGACTGCCATCGCCTCCACTTCTGCTGAGCAATCAGAGAAGTCTGTTTTAAGAAACACTGACTCATTCTTAAGATGAAGCTGCATACTTGGGTCACTCCTCTGACCCAGGTGGCCTGAGCCAACACACCCCAGTGTCCAGTGAACCAAAGTGTAAACTTTCCCCAATCCATTGACCACCAAAGAGCCTTAAAACATTTCCACTGCATGTGAAACGCCCTCTCCCTTAGGCAGGGGACTTTTTGGTTTGTTTCTTTCTGGATTTTCTGGAGATGCACAAATCTTGCTGTCCTGAGGCCACCAAGTGTTTCCTGTAAGCGGAGGGGCCCTGTTAAGCCGCCAGAGGGCAGCAGACAATAGCGGAAGGACTGTCCAGAAAACCAGCCTGGGGAAGTAAATGTAGCAGGAACAGCTGCTGCCGGCCAGAGGCCATATATCTGAGGCGAGGAGGTCAGGTCTCCTGGGGCTCCCTCTGCTAAGGCAGCCGCACTCCCGGTGACAAGAGAAGCACGCCAAGCCTGACCGAAGAGCCCGCTCAGTTCAAGAGGAACTCTGCCACCCAGCACACGGCAAGGCCTGCTTTTTAACCATCATGGCTGGAGCTCTTTTGACCCGAGACCTTATCTTCCAAACTTTCATATCTTTGCACAGCCTACTGTGTGTGTGCGAGTGTGCATGCGTTTTTTAAAAAAAGAAATACAGAACAACAACTAGCTAGCACAACAGTTTGACAGAGAGCGAGATGAGCCAAGGAAAGAGGGGTTGTGGGAGTTCTCTCATCGAGCTCATCCTACACCCAACAGACGGGCCAGGAGCAAAAGAGACTTGAGTGGAGAACACGAGGTGCAAATCAAAGGCCACAGGACCTCTGAGTAGCAGGGAGGATGCCTTCACCCGCCCTTCCCCTCCATGCCTTCTGAAGCCAAGACCAATCTCCCCAAGAACTGGGAAAGACTGGCTGGGAGGGAGCAGCCCGTGGAAACACCCCCCCAGCCACGCACAAGGTGCAAAATCGGCCAAGGATGGATGGCCCAGCCACTCCCCAGAGGCAGGAACCAGGGTGTGGAAAATCTGCCCATAAAGCCTGCAGGTGACCCTGGCATGGCCACCTCTGGTTTTATCCCTTGGTGTGCTTTACATGCCGGCACGATTTCATCAAGCCTTCCAGGGAGAACGGCGCGTCTCTTCCCCATGGCCCACCACCCTGAACCCCCAGAAAAGGCCACGGCTGCACAGGATGCTGCAAAGGCATCCGGCTGTGACCAAAAGCGTCCAAACTGTTTCCAAAGGCTTACGACTGTGACCAGAAAGAGCCGATCCGGGCCTTCCTACGCCGTGGTCTGTTGCCAGAGTTCGGCATAATAAGGAGGGAAGGCTCCAGTGGCTTTCCTCTTGAGGCAGGAGACCCCTTCGTGACAAGCTGGAGGAATCAGTGGTTCCAGAGCATGCCGCGGTGTTGCAGCCCATGCTGGGGCTTCCCAGCGGGTCGACGCTGGTCCGCTCGTTCCACACCATCCATGGCGCCCAGGACCTCTGCAGAGTTGACCGACTGCCAGGCCCTGATAAATGAGTTTGTTGAAAGGCGGAAAAGAGGCCTCCTACCTTTTTTTAAACCTGCAATTTTTATTTATACCATGCACAGCGTTAGGCAAAAGTGTCTACAGGAAAGCCAAAAGAAAAGGAATCCTGTGGGAGAAGATGTGTAATGCCACACATGGACACCCCGCCCCCCCCCAAAAAGCAGCTGCTCAACACAATTGCATCATGAGAACCAGGAACTGGGAAGGATGGATCAGAACCTTTCTTAGTTAAAGATGGTGCCTTCAAATAACAGCCCCGAGACCTCTGCAATCGACACGTCAGGAATGAGAAGAACACTGGAAGTGCCCTGAGGTTATCAGTTCCACTTTGTTATGTTCATAACATCTTGTTAATATAAAACAGGGAAAACGGATTGCTTTGTTCCTTCTGACAACTGACTTCCCTTTTGCACACTACAGTGGGGTCTCTACTTAAGAACGTCCCTCCTTAAGAACAATCCAACTTAAGAACAGCTTCATTTGCTAAATTTTGCTTCTACTTGAGAACAGAAATCCAAGATAAGAACAGGAAAAAAAACCTTTCCTGCTCTTTTTTAACCTTAGGTCATCTTAGGTTAAAAAAAATTCTCCCCCTAGTGGTAGAGTACGTATTAACCAGCTTTGCATTAGTTCCTATGGGAACTAATGCTTCAATGTACGAACGCACCTCTACATAACAAAAAAACAGCCAGAACGGATTAATTGGTTTTCAGTCCATTCCTATGGGAAATTTTGCTTCAACTTAAGAACGTTTCAACTTAAGAACACCATTCCAAAACCGATTAAGTTCTTAAGTAGAGGTTCCACTGCAGGTTCTATGGGCGGAAAAGAGCAGATACGGATTAAATGGTTTTCAATACATTCCTATGGGAAATGCAGATTCAACATAAGAACTTTCCAACTTGAGAACCACCTTCCAATACGGATTAAGTTCTTACTGTACTGTGTAATGTTTGACTTCAAGCCTCTGAGCAGAGGTGAGATGATGATGACTGCAAACTATGTTATCCTTTAAACAAATAGGCAGAGAACATAAACAACATTCCTTATTATACCAT